TACCTATGGCCGAATTCTCTTACAACAATACTATTCATTCTAGTACAAAAATGACTCCTTTCTTCTCGAACTATGGATTCCATCCATCTTCATTTTCCATCCAAAATAATATTTCATCCAATCCTACTGTTACATCAAAAAACGAATTTATGTCCTCACTATTCCTCAAATTACGGGAAAATCTTCAACTTGCCCAAAATAACCAGAAAAGATATTTTGACAATAAAAGAAGAATTCCCCCTCCTTATAATGTAGGGGATCTGGTCTGGCTTTCCTCTAGGAATATTACCACAAACCGTCCTTCAAAGAAATTAAGCTCTCTTTTTCTTGGTCCTTTTAAAGTAAATACGATTATTAATGATAACGTTGTTAAACTGGACCTCCCTCCAAGTTTTAAACTTCATCCTGTATTCCATGTCTCTTTGCTTAAACCTCACCTCCCTGATCCTTTCAATAGGGATTTAGTAACAACTCCTGATCCTATCATCTTCCAAGGTGAAGAAGAATATGAAATACATAGAATTTTGGATTCACGTATCCACCGTGGCTCCTTACAATACCTTATTAGATGGAAGGGTTATGGTATTGATGAAGACACTTGGGAAGATTCATCTAATGTACATGCTAAGAGGTTAGTTGCTGCATTTCACAAACGTTATCCCTCCAAACCGAGATAAGTGCACCCAGAGGATGCCCCATGAGAAGGGGGTACTGTCAGGTATAACTTAAAATACATTCGCCGTAAGAACCCACTTCCGGGTTCACGGCGCTTAGCTCCTCCCCTTTCTCTGACGCGGTCCCTCCACGATACTTAGGGAGACCGCGCCAGATTCAAAACGCTGGATTATTACACAGGTACCTGAAAAGTGATCAGCTGTTTTACTCCATCCTGCCTGTATCAAACCACGGATTGCTAAACGGACTTCCACTCTCTCCACTCCTAAACCACGGATTGCTAAACGGACTTCCACTCTCTTCACTCCAAGACCACGGATTGCTAAACGGACTTCCACTCTCTCCACTCCTAGACCACGGATTGCTAAACGGACTTCCACTCTCTCCACTCCTAAAACCACGGATTGCTAAACGGACTTCTCCTCTCTCCACTCCTAGACCACGGATTGCTAAACGGACTTCTCCTCTCTCCACTCCTAGACCACAGCTTGCTTAATGGACTATCTTCTCATTCCATCGGGTGAAAATAACCCTTAAGTTCCAGAACTTGCCTTATTAAGTTAAGTATTTCTGTTCCAATTAATCCACTGTGTCATTCTCTCTAATTAAGTTTCTTATTCTAATTGATCTACTTATAACAATAATTCACCCTCCAATAATCAACTCAATTATTATTACAACTTCTCCTGCTTCATTTATTACTATTGATTCTACAGAAGGGAATTTAAGTGACATCTGAAAATTAACAGATTCTTTTAGTTACACACAAATTCTAAGCTACATGTGTAATTAAGGTAATAGTAATTACTCCTTTTTCAATATAAAAAGAGGTGAATCTAGCAAATACTTCAATTAGGAAACTCTGCAGTTGTGTTCCAATTAAAAAATAAGTATCACAGTAAGGAACTGTTCTGGTGTCTATAGCCTGTCCCTGCAGGTCTTTTAATGTAAACACGGCGGCACTGCAGCACTGGCGTTAGTTAACATGGCAGATCATATGGGTGGGGCATTGTGATGTGACATGGGGGGGCGGCAAAAATCCTTGCACCGGCCCTGTATACTGTGGTAACCCTAAATAGATAAAGATGTTCAGACTTTAAGATGCCATCTTGTCCTAAGTCAGGGAATTTTCCATGATGTGTGCACCCTTACGTTTTAGTTATGGCCTTCTATTTTTTCCAAGTTAAGGGAGATCCTAAAATGAATAAAGTAAAAGAAGTGTTACTTTTTCATATATGAACTATGGTAACCCTAAAATGAAGACACCTAAGGTATAAATATGTGTCATTTAGTTGGCCATTTGAGCAACTAAATGACCTCCATTTGTCTAAATATACATATGGATTAAGGGGGGAGCGCAGGTAACTTTTTTATTTTCTTTGGTTTTTACTATATATTGGGGCTGATGTGTATTGTAGTCATTACTGCCGGCCCAGTAGTGATGGGAGTGAGCGCAGGACTTCTCTTTTTGTATTTACTTTGTATCACACAGCCTTTTACAATGCTGCCGCCCATCCCATGTGTTCCCTATTAAGGGTTAATAAGCATATAGGGGTTTGCCCAGTGGCTTGTGGTGCCTAATTCTTGGAAGTCCGCCCCGAGAAGGAAGGCTGTTTCTTCATCCATGCTGACGGTAAGGCTTTGTCCCGTTTTCAGTTCGTTAGGATATTTTGTGCAGGATTGGGTAAGCTGGGCTTGGAACCCATGCATTTCGGGACGCATTCGTTTAGAATTGGGGTGCAACAGAGGCGGCTTGGTTAGGTCTGGGGGACGAGCGGATCAAACGGATAGGAAGATGGGAGTCCATTCGGTTCCGCTCATACGTTAGGCCGGACAAGTTGGTGTAACAGGGGATTGGGGCGTTGATTGTTAAGGGCTCTGCTGTTCACTGTTCTATTTCTTTTAGGTCGTTTGGTATGGCTGATCGGACATTCCTACGTTTATTGGGCGCGGAGGAGGACCGCGATGAGAAGAGATGGAGCACAACTGGGCTTCCCGGTGGAGACGGTGGTTCTCACTTGGTTGGGTTTCCGGGGTTTCGGTTGGCAGAGCATTAGTAAGGAACTGTTCAATAGGCTGGCATGGGGGTCCGTCCCTAACGTAATTCTGGTTCATGGTGGGGGGAACGACTTAGGCTTGATCCCGCAGCGGGAACTGTTGAGGAGGATGAAGAGGTATCTGGATCGGCTACGTAAGCTGGTTCCTGGCGTGGTAGTGGTCTGGTCCGAAATGGTGCCTCGCTTTAATTGGAGACACGCCAGGGATTCGGCTGCGATAGCGAGAAGTAGGGGTAAGGTCAATAAGACCATGGCGGTTTTCGTGAGGCGGATGGGAGGCGTAGTTGTGCGTCACAAGGAGTTGGAGTGTATGCTGCCCGGGTATTTTAGGAAGGATGGGGTTCATCTATCCGACGTGGGATCGGATTTACTTAATTTGGGTTTTCAGGATGGTATTGCACAGGCCCTGTTTTTGTGTGGTGGGGGTCGCTCATGTTCTTGAGGGGGTCAAGTCATGGGCAGGCCAAGGTCTAGGCTGGACTATGCCGGAGTGGAAAATGGTTTGTAGGTTCTAGCTCGTTGGTGGCTACGAATCTGGGGGTGTAGGGGTGTCTGGGTACACCCCTACAGTTAAACATATGGTTATGGGGCCTCTTTGGTAGGCCATGGGTTAAACGTTATGTATTATTGGAATGTTTTATTAATGTTATTTGGTAGGGTCATTGTCGGGGGTATTGGGCAAGAAGGTTGGACATAATTAATACTTGTGACAATGACCCTAAATTGTTGAATTAAAATTTTCAATAAAGCTGTGGACTTTATACTCCAACAGAAATGATGTCAGAGTTATTTTAAGGTTTTAGCACATGCCGAATAACGACTGTGCACATGTCAAGGGAACCAGCTGTGGTTTCAGAAGTAGACAACAAATAGAAGCAGGCTTTAGAAGGGCTTAAAATTACAATGCATACCCAGGCTTATTGGAAAACACAGCTTGTTTGGTCTCTAGTTTCTGTCTAATTCTGTCTCTCTCTCGTGGTCCTAGATTTTCCCCTAGATTCTCTTGTCAAAGGATCCAATTTCCTCTGCTAGGAATTCAGAAAGGGGAAGATTTTCTAAATCATCGGAAACATGGGCACAGATGACTGCCACCGCCTCCTTCCATTCAATTTAGGGTTTTAGCCTGTTCACATGGAACATGTGTTGATCCCTTTTCATCAAAGCACTTAGTCACTACATAAGTGGTGTCACATTTTTTTTCCGGCGCCTTATAGGAGCCCTGCCAGGTAGCTTGCAGCTTGTCATGGTGAACCAGTTTAAGTACAGGACCTTCTGCCCTTCTTGAAAGCTGTGGTCCCTGGCTCCTCCATTATATTGTACACATTGGCGATGCTGAGCAGCCTGGAGGTTCTCCCGCAGAGCCCTGGTCATATCCTACATGCGGTCTTATAGTTCCAGCACATATGGTATTATATGGGTCCAATTTTGGCTGACCTCCCCAATATTCCCTTATCACAGGGATTCCCAACCCGTGGTATGCGTACCCCAAGGGTACAATTCAGTGCCTCAGGGGATAAACTACATTTATTTGCTAATGGCAGGCGCACGGGTTGGGCCAGCACTATATGAGCGCCGGCCCCGCTGTGTGTGCATTCATGGGTCAGTGGGGATATCAAAGATCTCCCTCACCGGCCCAAAGGCACTGACAGGCGGCGTGCAGGAGAGGGAGGAGCCGGGAGGCGGAAGGTTCCTCCCGCGAGCTCAGCAATTCGGAGCGTTGCCACAATGCTCTGAGGATCTCACGGGAGGACTGAACTCTGCCTTCAGCCAGAGGAGCTGCAGGCAGGATAGAGCTGCTCACCTCCACTAGACCACCAGGGCAATGTCCCACTCCCTGGGGAAAAGGAAAGCAGAGGGGAGAGAGGACAGAAAGCTTATTTATGTAGTATTATTATTATTAGGTTTTTTTTTAATAATAATTTTAAAAAAATATGTTTTTTACTCCTGACCCCCACCCATAGGTAGGCCCACACAGTCACACACTACAGCCCTCACACACACACACACACACACACACACAGCACCCTTCACAAACATATTGCACCCCTTACACAGAGCACCCCACACGCACAGCACCCCTCAGACAGAGCACCCCTCACACACAAACACTGCACCCCTCACAAATACAGCAACCCTAACACACACACACACACAGAGCA